CTGCTGATTTATGAGCCATGGATTTGATCAGTTGATGTGTGACATGTTCAGTTTGTTCTCCACTGCTGTGCCACATAATAATATCTGCAGAGAATGTGTGTTCACAACAAGATGCAACATGATAGCATTTGTAAAACCTTCATTGTCTTTCGAATGCTGGGTCCTGTCATTCTCGTCACTCTGGTCATATTCAGACTATATGTCAGTGCTGCCAGCAGCTTTTAATGAGATTATCTGTCCGAGATTATCCAGTGCTATTAGCAGGAGGCTAACCATTAACCCCAGAGACTGACTTGATGAAACCAAAAGCACCACACACTCACTCACACACACGGACATGCAGGGAAAAAATAGCTCATCTATAGCTGGTGCTATCATTGGACCTATATGTTTCACTCCATCTGTGTTGGAGCTGCTTGCAGCTTTCCGCCATATTTCCAAGGCACAGTTTAATCTTGATACTTACACATTTGATAGGACTGATCTGGCCCGACTGGTGCACAACACTTGTGCTGTGCTCCTCACAAATGGATGAGCTATGGGACAGTGGAGCAGTGTTAGAACCTATAGCTCCATGACCTGTCTTACATGGGCTGCTGCAGCCAGGGGTTGTGGCAGTAATAACTTACTGCTCTTTAGAAGTGGGATTTGATTTATGTCGTTCTGTTGTTGTAAAGACAGAGATACAGCAGGTAAGGTGGGTGAGCTCAGAGCCCTGGTTGCAGCAAAAGACTGGCAGATGGGAGATGGTAGTCGAGGGGACGGAGGAGCCGTGTAGGAGAAGGCACCCCAGGCCCTTGGCAGCTGAAAGCCATGTGCCTGTATGCCTGTGTGCCTGAAGCACGGGAATCTCAGCTGACCCTCTCTGTTCAGCGCAGAAGAGCTGAGACTGCAGTCAGTCCGCTGCACAGTGACTCTGTTACACTTACAACAAGAAAAGATTTCTTATTTATGTTAAATACTTGAAGCCATGATGATTCAGTGAGTCAAAAGTCGGAAAACACAGCGTGACTGTGATGTTAAACATATGCATTTATGGGTTTATTAATAAACGAAGCTGCAGCCTGGATGTGTGTGCGAAAGTGAGGAAGGATGAGATAGAAAAAGGTAAAAGACTGCACATATTATTACACACACACGCCTTTTGCATCCACCACATGGTTATTTCCAATCCAGCATGTGTCAACAGGAAATGTAGGCCAGGTCTGCTGGGCAGGGCCTCCAGCCAATCACAGAGCTCGTTTACTGGCAGTGATTTTTGGACAGGAGTTGCCAGAGGTTGCTATTGTACATTATCATGATGGAGATTAGTTGTGCTTGTCTGTGTGTGTCTATACAGGTGAGTGTGTGTTAGTTGTGTCTGAGATTTACCTGCAATGCGGTGATCTGACCTGGCGTTGACAGCCAGCTTTGTGTCAAAGTCAAAAAACCAGGACAGAAGGAGTCACCGAGCTCAGCGAGCACATGTTCAACCTCATGGTTAAGCTTTTTATAAAACCAGGTCACTGTAATTCACTTTTTGTCTCATTGTATATTAACACTTTTAGCAGCATTTCACTTTTATTACATGATGGTTTCTTGACCTGTAATGTGATTTGTTGATGAACATGTTTTAGATCAGACTGAACGATGACACACAGCTGCTTTTGGATGTTATTGGTTCTATCAGTTATATTGAACTTTCAAGGCTGAGCCTCTCTGTCATGCCGTTACTGTAAACCAGTTCATACCCCACACCTCCCAACTGACAGGAGTCGTGCTAATGCTGTGAGTCAGATGTTTGGAGTGATGGTTATATCTGGGTGTTTGTGTTTCTGTCTTTTTATGTCTCCTCCCCTCCGGAGACTTCATTCCTCACTGGTGACGATCAACCCAGATTCATCCCTCGTCTCTCTCTGCTCCTCCAGCACACACCACCGATTTCACTCTCCTTTGGTTTTCTCACTCGGTGAACACTGACATTCCCGTCAGGACCAGTCCTCAGCCTCCTTCCCTTCACCGCCCTCCCTCCTCATTTCTTATTTACCCTGCTGCATCACAAGTACAGGACTGGTATCCAGCTGACCGGCTGTTTGACTGGCTGACTGGATGAATATTTTACTTGCACGCTGAGCTCTGAAGCGGCCTCACCACAGCTGCAGATAGTAAACTCATTACAACAAGCGCAACACCGAGTTCTGATCCCACTTGTGTTCAGGCTACTCGTTGGTGCAAAAAAAGAAGAGACTCGTTTTGTAGCCTTGAGGTACGGTGAATGCTGAAACATGACCATAAGGAAGTAGTGATGCTTTAGTCGCTCTGAGTTGATATTGTACTGCAGTACTTTGGTGGAAAACAAATATGTTGTGTGAACACTTTGCTGATACACTGAGTAAGCTACGTGCTACATGTCAGACATGTACATGTTAACAGGAAGCGTAATCTGGTCACAGTCTCACTTGGTTCAAAATGTATTTGCTGTTACAAATTAACTGTATATAAACAAAACCTCTGGGAGAAGGGGTTGGTACGCCATAACTAACTAACGCCATGACTCACCTAATGAACTCTTAGTCCACCAGGTCATCCATCTGTTTGCTCTGCAGCCAAGTATCCATCCCTCCTTGCAGCCATCCATCCTTTCAGCAGACTCATTAGCCGACTATTTGTATTCACAACTACAGCTGTGGGAACATCAAATAAGACCGTGATGCCCTAAACCGTCGTGATGATTCATGCACTACCTTAACCCCCAGCCATCATAGAAACTTTTATGAGTGGTCTGCAGTCACCAGGTCATCTGCCATTCACAGTGTTAGTAGCATCCTGTTGACTTGATGAAGCTGGGATGAGCTGCGTTGATAGTGACCTTCCTCATTCCAGAGGAGGTTGTATGCATCATCTGAAATCATATTCCAGCTGTCAGGTTCTCTATGACCACACCATGTGTAGAGCAGTCGGTGTCTTCCTTACCTTAAACATTTAATAATACAGTGATGAGTCTTTATCAGTACATCAGCAATATGATTTTCACTGGAGCCTTTAATCCTGCCGTCCTACAGAGACATGCACATAACAAAGGCTCAGCGTGGCCATCTGGTCGACTCAGCTCAGATGAATCATAACGCTTTCTCCCAGCCTATTCTGTACATGCAGAGTAATGTCAGCTGATGCCACTGACAGAATGAAATGCTGTGCATGCTTGTGCTTGTCGTGTTTTCCACCATTTGACATTGTAGTATGATGGATAACATAACTGGGGGGTGCTTAGCACTAGTGGACAGTTGGCAGTTTTTAAAGCGAGGGATCAAGCCAGTTTAGCCGGAGTGAAGGCACGGCAGTGCTTTGTGAGGAAACACTGAAGACGTGACCGTAGCCTTATTTGGACAGTTAACATTAGACTTCTTCCACAAAGTGTTTCTGAACACACTGATTTTGAAACACAGGGGCAAACAAAAAAAAAAGGGAAAATCAGTGAGCGTGTCCACGGCCTCCTAGAAAACCAAACTGGAAAATTGAAGAACAAATGAACAGCATGCAAAAATAAACAAGTAGCAGGCGGTGGTCGGTAAAACAAAAGCAGCCGGGCTTTGTGTGCACTAACCACCCGTGCTTTTTTGTCCTCCTCCTTTCCTCCTCCTCCTCCACTCCTTTCTCCGCCTCGCTCCTCATCTTCTGAGAATGTAATCACTGGGCTTACACTTCACTGTCATTCCTCAATGCCGGCGTGAGTGCGTGCGCTCGTGTCTTGACAGGATATTTGTTTGCCTGCGTGTACTGTACTTGGGTACAGTGTGTGTGTGTGCATGTGTGTCTTTAAGGCCATAAAACTTGTACACGAGTGTGGGTGAACACATACATTTCCATGTTTATGCTCTCCGCTGTGCTCTGCAGGCATTTACATACAACCCCCCCCCCCCGTTGTGCTGCTTGCTTGATAACCACTGAATCCTTTTCCTAGCATCATTTAGCTGTTATATAAGCGCACACACGCACTAGGCCTGTATTCTGACTCACAGATAATGATATTACAGTCCTGTCACTTTTATGATCTATTTCCTGTTAAAACTGTGTTTGGTGCAGAACGTAACAAACGATACCAACAACAGGTGGGGTGGGTGGTGAAATTATTTCTCCAGTGTGCTTTTAAAGTTCTTGTGTTTTAATGTTGTTGTATATTTAAATGGCAACAGTGGAGTGACTAGAGAGAGGAAACGCTGGCAGACATCTGCACTGTGCCTGGATGTGTACATCGACTTGTTGATGTGTGACCCCATGTGTTATGCAAGATGCATTGACCTTCTGACCTTTAACTCCAGGGAAGACACTCAGCCCAAACGTTTTATCAGTTTTCCAGTCATCATGTGTAGCACTTTGGTGTGCACTAGCCTGTAAAACAGTTGCTATACACATGAATAAAGTTTGACCTGTGTTGCCTTGCAGATCACCAGAAGCTGGAGCGAGAGGCTCGGATTTGTCGCCTGTTGAAACACCCCAACATCGGTGAGGACAGTCCTGTTTCCTGATTATCCTGCAATCAAACTTTTAACAACATCAAACCCATTTATTACAACTTATTTCAAAAGTTGGTACAGCAGGAAGAAAACAGTTGTAGGCATTTTATTGTTTACCTGAATTTGTGCTAAATCTTAGCTAATGCAGGTTTAAAGCCATCGATTGCAACTTAATACAAATGCCAACAAATCTGTTTATCACAAAACTATAGTTGTAGCGACACAGTAACATCTTGACATCAGTTGATTTCTATAATACTTTAAATATCCATGATGCAGTTGTTATGACTCCTGGTGGTTCTGGACTCCACGTTCTCAGTCCATCTTTATTTCTCCTTTTCCTTTTTTCATCTCTCAGGTAAAATTCGTCCCCTGTCTACTTTATACTGCATGTTCCAGCTGTACCCAACACAATCAAACCAGTGATGAACACAGTGGTAAACAGACCTTTATCAATCTGTTATCCTTCTCTTCCAGTTCGTCTTCATGACAGTATATCAGAGGAGGGCTTCCACTACCTGCTTTTTGACTTGTAAGTCCTCCCTCCTCTCATCTTCATGCTCGCTCACCTCCTCTCCCTTTTTCCTCCCCCACCTCGATTCCCTTCATATACAATTACATAACTGTCTCCTATATTTGTTGCCCCCATCCCTCCAAGCACAAGCACCACCCACGTCCATCTCTCGGCAATTCCCTCTAGTTTCCATGGTAACGGTGTGGTAAAAGGGATGAAGGCAGGACTTTGGGGGGGGTTGCTGCTAGAAACACAAAATGAAATGGGTGTCCTGGTTTTGTAGCCTTGATACCCCCTCCACCCCCCACCTGCTTCCAATACAGGCAGCCCAGTTTGAAAAGATGTGTGTGTCTGTGTGTGTGCAGGGTGACCGGAGGTGAACTGTTCGAGGACATCGTAGCCAGAGAGTATTATAGCGAGGCCGACGCCAGGTAGGAGCACGGCCTTGTCTCTTTTGTGTGTTAGTGCTTCTCCTTGTCCTTAAACTGTTGGTGCCTTCTCTTGTCTGTTGTGTTTTACTTCTTGCTTTTCCTCGTGACTCTGCTCTGCTCTCTGTTCTGCTCTTCACGCCCCTTCTTCTCACTCTTTTCTTTACTTTTTTTGGTTTTCTGGTTTGTTTTTTTGTCCTTTTTGTTTCAGCTGCTGTTTCTCTCCTGCTCACTGCTTTTCTTTCTTTCTGTTAACTTCTAACTTTACCTCCTGTTTTCATTGCCATGTTACTCCCATTTCTTCTTTTCCCTCTTCTTCTTTTTCCACTATTCTCCCTCTGTCCATTGCGTCTTCCTTCACATCAGTGCCAACGTACTTCACCTCCCACACTGACACAGGCGTGAACCTTAAGTCCAGTCCAAGCTTTGACCAAGATGAGATTTTGAAATGAACTGTGTAGTGGATGTTGTTGCCGAGTTTATTTTGGACTGTAAAAAGCCCAATGTAAGAAAAATTGACACTGAATTGAGTTAAGAATCTGTGATTCAACACCTTGTTTGCCTTCAAATTGTTGTATCATCTAATATCCTGTGGTGGAAAAATAGTAGTAAACCAATATATAGTTGACATTTTTAGATAATCAGCTGCTGCCTGCACTCATGAGGCCTTGGTGGTGGTTTTTCTTACAGTGCAGTTTTTTTTTTGTGGACATTTTTTCTTTAATTAAAATAATAAAGGGAGTGCAGATTGCAGCAAACTGCTCGTTTTTTATTTTCAAATATTTTCATAATTAATTTGTATTAAATAAATATTCAGTTCAGCAAATTTATGTCTCATTAGATATTATTAAATTATTTTACAAACGCCACAACCTGATCAGTTTTATATATTGGCCCTCAGACTTGGCATCGACCACTAGTGAAAACTGTTAGCAGCAGAGTTTGGTTTGTAATAAATGGGCAAATGATTTCTGCAGGTGGTCCAGGGTGCACCTCCATGCTGTCATGCTTTGTATCTGTGCTTTCTCTCACTCAAACAGTGGCGGAGGAAAAAAACAAGTGTGTGAGCAGAACAAAACAAATGGCCCATCAGCTGTAGTGTCTGTGTGTGGACAGTCTCACCTTCTCTTTAGTTTCTCGGTCTTCATTCAGCCCTCCGTTTTACTTTCTTTTTCACCCCCCACCACCACCCACATCGGTCTGTCTCACTCCCACCGCTTGTGCTGACTCACCGACGCACACAGTTCACTTAACCAATGGCGGAAGAGGAAATGGAGTAGTGAGGGGGCGGACAGACACTAGGCTGGGAGAAGAGTGAGAGAGACACTTGAAAATGACAGTTGTGATGTGGGTGTTCATCCATTCAGCAACATTCAAAGTGAAACTGAAAAGTCTGATATTGTAGAAGTTCATGCCAGTGTAGCACAGTTTGTCCACTCAGAACAATGAACGTAAAGTTTTGTCTGTCAGACAGTTTGTGTTGCGTTTTATTCTGTGCTTTAAGTCCCACATATTCACTGTGTAACAGTCGATGAAAGGACTTTTATTTTTTAGTTTCCTGAACAAAAACAATGGGATTTTCAGGTTCTGTCCAGGCGTCTTCATGAGGTCATGAGGAAAAAAATCCACTATTATTATTAAATGCACTAAATGTCTCTTTGATATTCTCATGTAGAAAATGACCCTGGACCAGGTGTGTGAACATGTAGTGCATCGTCACAGCACATTACTTGATTTCTGGGTAATGAAGTCCTTAATTGAATTAGCCTGATTAGTGTCTTCCATTAAATCTAATTTAAGAAGCACTGCTGTTGCTCACCTTCATTTACTTTATATGATTCACATCATTTTGCGTTAAACACGCGTTCACACTGGGTTCCCGATTAGCTCATAGCGTGGATCAGATGTTACATTATGGTTTCATTATTTCTCTCCAGTTTGAGTGGATGCTGTCATGCGCTGCAGCAGCAACAACAGGTGGCTAAAAGGCCAACGTGTACAAAGGTTATATCCACAGGATTCTGTCATTTGTTCTGTAAACATACAAATCCTGACTCCCAGAAAATGTAAAAATAATTAAACTCGAGCTGTCCACTCTCCTGACATTTTAAAGTCATTTGCAGCTTCCAACTAAAATGTCATTCTGTTGCAGTTCTCTGCTCCTTCTTTAGTTTCTCAAGCACTGAGAGGAACTGTGGGAAAGACAAATGTCAGATATGATCAAATGATTTCTGCCATATTATTATTATTTTCTCATATTATTAGGTAAAAACAATCAGTATAACTATGATTGTACAATGTGCAGGAAATTCCTCCCCAAACGAAACTTTAGCTTAATGCAGCTCATTTTATATCATTATTAGTGATGGAAACTAAGTACTTTTACTCGAGTACTGTACTTAAGTACTGTTTTGGAATATCTGAACTGGAGTATTTTCATTTTGTTTTACTTCGTACACTATATTTTAGAGGCAAGTGTTGTACTTTTTACTGCACCACATTTAATTTATAACTTTAGTTTTCAGAATAAGATTAATAAAAAATGCAGTATAGTCATGACCTTATTGACCTATGGTGGAGGATTTACTTGTTATTCAGCAGTAATTCAAATTCTAAACATCTAAATCTGGTAAAACGAGCTCCCCCTTTATCAGCTGCAGCATTAAAGTGAACACAATAGCCACTGCATAAACTAGCGCATTAAGTGATGTGACAGTACATCCGAGCTTTACAGAGACGCACATAATATAGAAATCTGACTTTCAGTTTCTAAACTTCTGTTGTGAAGGATGACTAATGTAAGAAATAACCTGACAGCTCTGTGTCCCACAGCAAAGCCGAAGTACACTCGTATTCACAGAGACACTGAGATAGAGAGCGGTCTGTGTGACTGATCAGTCATTTACAGATACAGTACAATGACAGTTATAACTGTTTACTTTCACACTGGTGATAGGAATCTTTATATCATACTGGTTCAGTATCTTTAGGCAAGAAATGTGACATTTCTACAAGACGTTTCTCATCATGTTAAAAATGATGCCGCTTCACTGAATTCCCATATTGGAAAAACAAATTTAAAAGTCTTTAAATTCTGATTTGATAAACTGATTAACTTGTTGTGACAGTGAAGAAAATCAGCTGCCGTATCCTGTTGTCTGTCTTATAACTGGGTCATTCATTTTCTTAAAACTGTAGAAGGGATTTCATCGTGCTAATCTTCTGTGATTCCTGCCTGTCCATGTCCAGTGTCCTAAGAAAGACAGGTGTGTTGTTACACCTGCATATTTAGCCTTCTCCAATGACTACTAGTGAATTTCTGCTAACGCTTGATGCTGAGGAGCTTCTGTTTTGGCTTTCATCCAGTCATTCTTGCCAGTCAACAAAGGCTGAAGCGATGCACAAGGTGTGGACATCTGATTGGCTGTTAGCTGAATCCATCTTGCTATTGGCTTTGTTGTCTGTCTGTTACATTTTTTTCAGTCGTGACAGTTTCTGTAGTTTTACTCTTTGTGTGTGTTGTTGTACATCTTTGTGACTAGTTAGAATGTTAAACCTCGGCAGAGAAAACATTTTAGCGTGTCCTCACTTTGGGACACACCTACGAAACGCTATTTGAGGGTTACAGTTAGGTTTGGTGTTAGGGTTTAGGCATTTTGTTGTGTGTAATTGTAGTGTGTGGGCTGCTAATATGTGTACTTGGTGTGGAATATGCTGCAGCACTAATAAGTACCTATCTAAACCCCCTAATGAGTCAGTTTCCCCACCTACCTTGTAACCCTTACAGTGCTAGTGACAGCGGGACAGGATTTGCAGTCTAAGGCATCCAGGCCTTTAATCCCACCCCCACCTCCACCTCACCCCCTTGGAGATCAGCAAGAAGTGGGACTTTAATTAGCTACGATAATTAGTCTCACGCACAGACCCCAAAGTGTGCTGCATCACACCTCGTCTCCCCGTCAGAAACTGTCAGTGTCTCTTCAGCAGTGATTGATTCATTTAGTGGATGGAGGCTATTATGAGCAGAACTTGGGAGTGAATCACACCAAGAGCGGAATCAATGAATCTGTGCTGACTAGGGAACAGACAGACCGAAACACAAAGTCGCACACACACAGCGCTGTTGATTGGCAGATAAGTTAGCAAATAATATTCACACATCTTTTACTTCTTGTTTGACAAAACTGTCTGGGCCTGTATCTGCTGACTAATCCAGCCACCAGATCACTGATGCTGTCTTATTTAGTGTGTGGTAGGTGGAGTAGACTCATAGTTAGCCGCTGAAAACTGATGACTAGCATTTTGTTTGTACATTTTATCTAAGAGGAGCTCTGTAGCTTTGTGTTAAAGGCGGATTTGTACTTTAGGGAGCAGGTTAATATTTGACAAAGGTTTTGACTTGTAGAGTAGTTCACAGATTGATGTTTCATTGCCATAAATAGTTTATAGTTTATTACATGGCTTAGAGTTTGTTGTTTGCATGTATTTTCATCCAACACACTGATTTCAGTTATTGCACATCACTGAAAACGTGGCGGGAAACTGGATTTAACCCCGTTCTGATTCAGTTTTTTACATTACACACAAGCTTGGACATGCTTTATTTTATATACACACCCATACACGTGGGAGAGACGGTGCCGTTTTGGACATACAGACTGGCTCTGTATTTGGTTTTCCTGCAGAGAACAGTGGGACACTGTAGCTCAAAGTGCTGAGCAAGTCACATTTTTCAGCCAGTGTGACGAGGTCCTTCTCTTTGTCCCACTAGGCGTTCATAAACAGATGAGTCCCTTGGAATGACGCAATGGCTTTGGACAGGGAGAAAGCTGATTCACAAAGAAAGTAGTGGGATGTGGATGCTTTCTCAATTCTAGAGGCCAAACACGGAGTGGGTCACTGTCAGATCAAGGCATGTGTCCACGCATACAGTGAGGTCAAACCTGTGCTCTGTTACACTTGTGACCAGGCCCAACGTGATTTTACTGCAGGACGGTGAGACG